TGTGCCGAAAGTTTGGTCGCCGGGGTTTGGGAACGTGATGTTCTGGTTTTGCTGTCCATTCACCAGTACGCCGGTCGTGGCGCCTACGTTCGCCAAATTCAGCACAACGTTGGCGCCACCGCTCGTCATCGTGCTCCCGTTGAGATCGATAGCGGTTCCTAACGACACTCCATTTGCGTCAACATCACCTGGCTGCACGGTATATATGAAGGTCAGGGCGGAGCTGTTGCTGCCACCGACGAAGTTCGCTTGCCGCAGAGTTGAACCAATCGTCAAAGGAATTGAGGGCGTGCCGCCAGCTGTGACGGTCACGGGAGCGCTGTAGGTCACAGTGAACTGCAGGTTCTGTCCAGCACTATAGGTTCCGTCGGGGGGGACGCTTACTGATTGCACTGAGGCGGCAGGAGCTACAAGCGTGTAGCTCAGCGTGGTTTGGCAGGCTTTGGAGTCTGTGATGGTCACCGAATATTGACCGGGAGCCAGTCCTGTCGCGGTTGCCGCTGCGCCACCGGAGGGGGTCCATGAGTAAGCGTAGCCAGGAGTTCCCCCTGTCGCGACAACTGTTGCGCTACCGTTGTTGCCTCCAACGGGATTGATCTGCGACTGCGTGCCTGACAATGTTTCAGGCTGTCCAACGGTCGTAGACGCTGTTCCTTGCAGGCCGTTATTGTCAGTAACCGTAACTGTATAGGTGCCTGCTGTGAGCCCTGTTGCGGTAGCGTTTGTGCCTCCAGAGGGGCTCCATGAGTAGGTGAAGGGCGCAACACCGTTCTGGGTGATTTGGGCAGTGGCCGTGCCGTTGTTTGCCCCGTTACAAGAGGCATCGGTGTGGGACGCGGACAAGATCAGCTGTGCGCTTGCAGAGCCGGTGTAAGTGACAAGAGCAAAGATGCCGCCTAGCACCCATGTGCGGAAAACCCCAGAAGACATGTTGTTCCCTTGCTTTGGAGATCGGCGCAATCTCTCTAGCTCTGTTTGCTGAACTTTTGTTTGATGACCAAACGCGCTGCAAATTGTATGAATTTGTGTATATTGTGTCTATCACTGAAACTTGGTAGTTACTCCGGCTAGGCGGCCTGGTCCTGCGGCGTTCGTCCCAAGCCTGCCAGCTTCGGGGGATGAGCAAGGAATACAAGCAGTTTCCGCAGTGGGAACGCATCGAGCAGTACTACAGGGTCGGCATCCAGGGCCTGAGGCAGATCGCAGCAGGGCA